GACTGAGATTTCTGCTGAATCCCTTCAAGACCGCAGAGATACATGTATGGCCTTTCTCTTACTGATTTCATCCTGAAGTCACCTGATACTACAAAAAAACAATCTTCTTTCCTTGTATTAATAAGGGTTTGCAATTCTGTGTCCAGTCTTCCAACTAAAGCTTGGTATTTGGCAGCATCAGAAAACAGAATATAGGCATATTTACACCAGTGTTATCTGGTGTGTGCATCCCTGACGTATAACATACGGCCGTTACAGGAACATGACCAAATTATTATGTTCATGCCATTCAGGTGCTAATGTAAACATCTGGAGGGCATTTGTGCTCTCATCTCAGGAGATGAATACCGGCATCAGAGGGAGACTGACTGGCAAGTTCAATTACATGAACAACCACAATTTCAGTGTTGTCATGTGATGTGATGGAGCTGACATGACTTCAATGCGCCATGTCAACCGTATGAGATGAGGACAGACTAAAAGGCAATGAAAATGATTGATTGTCTGACTTTAAGGAGAAAAAGATGTTCTCAGTTTTTTCAAAATCCTTCAAAAAAGCTGTAATCTCCCCCATTTATTGTTCTCATAGCCGACTCAAAGACATACAAATGCACATTCCACTTGGCTTACATGCATTTTTGATTATTAACATAGTCGCGAGCACTTAACCTAGATAACCGCTGACGGCTGATGACATTTTCAAAAGGTGGGAAAAGCCACCTATTGTATGAGTGTTTTTTCATCACCTGGATGCCGTGAGAGAGCTGGTTTTACAGTCACAAACCTCAGGGGGCACGGAGGCAGTTACTGGAACGGTGAAGCCCAGAGCCAGAAGGCAACAGCATCTGCTCTCTCTGGAGACTGTCATCAGCAGTTTGGGCTAGAAGAATGGCTACTTGTGTTGAAATGCTAGCGCCATATTTTTCTGCCTGACACTGCATTACTGTATTCCTTTTTGTTAATTTGAAATTCGCCATAATGCGCATGCAATGACATTTGGCTTAACACTCGGATCAAATAGCGTAGCTTTCAGTAAATGTCAATCTGAAGCAGGAAATAATGTATGAGAGAATACATTTCCAGTTTTAAATGATATGCTTTAAAAACAGATAGGCATGCGTTACATTGGCAAACTGTTTTATTGTGCTTTCTTCCACTGAGTTTTCTCATATCACACCATACAGTAGGTGTAGAAAGGTTTGTGTCTGGAAAATTAATGAGTTGTATAGCCTGAGAGAAATGTGCCTCACTCTTATCCACGACAAAGATATAATGGAAAAGATTAATATCCTTAAAGAATCTATTAAATGTTAAGATCAACTGATTTAAAAGGTGAGACACTCAATTTGCATTAAACATGAGGGGCTCAGCGAATTGAAAATCCTCCCGCTCAAGACTTCAGCTATTTTAATAGCAGTTTGGGCTGATTCTACCCACTAAGACATTAATACTCTACTGAATTAGATTCAAAGGCCAGATTCTCACACCGCCTTCTATAAAGATAATCTTATTTCTTACTTGGCTGAACTTGAGAGTTGGCTCTTGCTGATAAAGTAGACACCAACCATTTCCCATTGACCTTTCCAGAAAGGAGCCGAGAATGCTTCAGAAAACAAAAACACTCAATGAAAATGCAAATGAATCACTTGAAAGGGATCCCTCACTGTTCCACTGTTAGTAATTTCCTGGCAGTGATGTATTGATCTCAGAGAAGCGATATTCGAGTTGTTAAACCAACAGAAAGATATTATCTTCTCCTTTTGCTGAATCTTTGAAACTGTTTTCACACCACTTGTCACAGCTGTGCCACCAAACAGCCTGTATTAACGGAAGGTGTATGTGAGGATGTCTACAATTGTAGCAGGGGTGCCTGAAGAAATATATGACTTTTATCTACAAGAACCCCCCCCTCCTCTTCTCTTGTTCAAAAGGCATTGTGTGATGATGCATGACATGATCTACATTATGGCATGTTCTCTATGTCTAATAAAAACCGGCCTCCTGGGAATGTTGTTATTGTAATCAACATTAATATCATCGTAAAATGTCAGATGTTTTTTTAAGGGCAGCTAAACCTTTATAATTCCTCTTATTTCGAGGGAAGGCAGAGCTGAGGGGGGGAGCGAAATAGAAAACTGCTTCATAGTTTTTCTTGAAACATCTCCTGCTCTCCCACCCTGAGCAAAACACAACGATTTATTGACATTTTTACTCTGCTTAGCCACCCTCGGCTTAAAGTAGCAACCAACACCTTATCTTGCAGGCATGCTATTTGGAAAGGAAATTTGACATGGAATCAGACAGGCGTTAAGAGTAGACCCATATTGCTGCCATTATTTGTAAAATACATGACATTCTGTTGTTTTCCTGCAGATGTTAGAAAGAAGCACGATGCTTTGGATATGTCCCTGAGAATCTCATCACTGTAGGTATGTAACATTCAGGGCAGAAGCCTTTGGGAGCTTATGGGCTGTCTGTACTGACCATTTTAGATTCAGGAGACAACTCTTGTGAACATTCTTTAAAAAAAAAACATCCCCCTTTTTTCAGGGTTACCTTCCAGAGAGCAGCCGTCAGAACCTCTCAGGGAGGAGTCCATTGAATCAGCAGTGCATGAACCTGCTTTCGACAGAAACTGGTGGTCTGCAGGTCAGAAAAAAAGTCTGTTTGATTGGTATGTTGCACTGCGAGAATGATAGATGTAGATTCAGTGGCGATTGTGTTTTCATTTTTTTCAGAATTGGAATCATTACAAAATTAGTTTATAAGCAAATAGAGCTGCAAAATACAGACATATAATCGGAAAAAAAACTGCAACTATTAAGATAATCTATTATTAAAAAAATATTAAATGTAATAATGAATACAAAATTCCTGCTTTCCGTGTTATGCATTATATAAAACTGAATATCTTTAGGGCTTGGACTGACGAAACAAGAGATTTAAACATGGATGGATTACTGAACTGGCCTACCATACACAGGCCCAGGGCCCCTCCTGGCCTTCAACTACAAAATGTCACTCAAAGAGACACGTAACAACCAGGAAGAGACTCAAACTGACCATAGAGAAACATCAAATAAATACAAAGAGACCAAAACAGCTGCAAAGAGACTCAAAGATGCTCAAAACCTTTACGAAACGGGGCAAATCAACCGCTAAGAGAAGCAAAATGACAACAAATAGAAGAAACACACACACACACACACACAACAGTGATGTGTACAAGGGTCACAAAACGACTACAAAAGAGGCTTAAGAACTACAAAATATGTCTTGCTCCTATTATAGATGATGGGGACTGTGCATATCTACGCAGGGGGCTATTGTCTGAAAATCCCTCCATTCATTAAACACATCACCTTGGACTTTGAGAAACTGGGATTGGCATTTTCTACCATTTCTTGACATTTTAAAAACCAAACTGAACATTGATTAATGAAGAAAAGCCTGCAGATCAATCAATAATGAAAATAATAGTTGCAGCCCTCTGTGTAAAAAAAGGGAATCTCAATCAGGAACATATTTTTAGACGTTGAATTAAACACACTCTAAAAGGTCAGAGCTAGTGTTGTACAGTTGACTTTTGCTAGTGTAAAACACTTATCTGTATAGACATATTACCCCATCTTCAGAATCTATTTTTCCGCCCATAACAACTCAGCAATTTATGCTATTTGGCTTCCTCCTATGTCCCAAATCCCCTGCCAAAGCCTGAGACAGTAATGCCGTGCTGTAGAGAGCCTACGTCTCGAGCAGTTTCTTGCTGTTCTTCTCTCTCTGGGTATTCTTCACTCCTTCCTGAACTGGGAATGCACCCTGTCTTGCTGAGCAAGCATCACAATAAAATGTGAAGTCTTTATGCTGTAGAGATGGCAGTGTGAGCTGCAGGCCTTGGGCATGTTCTGCATGGTGGTGATAAAAAAAAAAAAAACTCACAGACACAATGCAAAAGTAGGGCTCACCATGTAGTGAAGGTGGCGAGGAAGTGGGATGATTGAGCAGTTTCCTGCACATACAGATTGCCGCTGATTTACTCGAAATAACAGCACTCGCATCTCCTTCTTTGCTACGATCACCATTCCATCTCCATCATACAAGGAAGAGCTCCCCATCTATAGGTGAAGATTACCTGCAGTTAAAAAGGACATTATTATTTCAAGCCACTTTCAATTTTCTGTTCTGCTCAGCTTGTTAAAACATGTTCTTTCATAAATGTATTTTTTTCTAACAACAACAAAGGTAAGCTACGGACTTTGGCTTTACGTCTACTCCCCTTGAAATACATCATCCTGACTTTGTTGTACAAGTTCCTTGGAACAATCCTTAATCAAAATATTAAGCATTCTTAGTTGTCTTCATGTAGTGCAGAGTAGAACAAAAAAGAAGAAGAATAAAAGGAAATCTCCCCGTGGGAGAAATAGCAATCCATTCTAAATGTAAATAATTGTTAATCATGTGGTCACAGCGCTGTGAGTGGTGCCAGTTTCCCTGATTTGCATTTGTCAGAAGCATATGATCAGGTGGAGTCCTCCCATGCCATCTAATCCAGAGGCAGTCTGGCTTTAAGACATGTGATACAGTCTTTACACACAGCCAGGCTGCACGGGAACATTTGTTTCTTAGTGCTCGCTGAGGGGGGACTCAGCGAGAGCCGCTGCTCAGAGGCTGCCTCTCACTGGAAGGATGCAGACGGTGAAAGAAGAGATTCCACTACAGTTAATTAAGGAGCACTCTGCATGTGCCTATAAATGCGAAGGGGCAAATGAATTCAGTGTCAGTGGGAGCAGATCATCAAGGGGAAGCAGTGATATTTCAAAGGTGGAATTGAAAGAGCTGTAAATCTATTTTCTGACTCCGGCTTGACGGTCATTTCTGAATCACGGGACTGTTGCTATCAAAGTGAGGAGCAGGGAGGCAGAGTCACTGGAGTTCCCTCCTCGAGCTTAATTCAGAGTTATTGGATGGTATCATCATGAGCAGCGTTATGGATGGATTTATGTCATTCTGTTGAGATATTTATACTCTCTCTGTTGGGTTGCTCAGGTAAGATTTTCTTCTTTTTTTACACTCGGGGCAAAAAAATGAATCATGTCATTGTCAAGAGATGTACCTCTTTTGCAGGAAACTGGCAAATCATACATTTTGTATATAAATCAGTTTGAATTTAAATCTGAAATATGCACAATATGTTCTCTAGCCAATTGTTGATATTTACATTAGAATAACTCAGATTTTAAAAGTCTTGCAATTTAATTTAAGGTGTTTGATCATCCATTTAGCTTTTTCCCATTCTTTTTTAGTGTTACTTAAAAGTACATTGAAGATGTAAAAGGGCTTAAAAAGTATTCTGCAATCAGGAGTTTAATCTGGAGAACGCACTACTTTTATCACCTTAACAGTCGAGGCTGTACGTTATTTTTCCAAGTTTTTATGCACCTGGAAAAATTCAACATGATTTTTAAATCATATCCTGAAGAAATACATGTTATATACATATATAACATATATATATATGTAGGAAGTACAGCCTTTAAAATGATGGTAAATTGTTTTGCTGCTGTGAATAAATGGAGAATGATTTCAGGGCTGAAACACTTATTTTCTCCTTCATGGACTTCCATCACAGCCACCCTTCTCCTATATGACCACAAGCATCCCTCACTGTTCGGTTTCTTTCTTTTTTTTCTAAACGGCATGGTGAAAACATTACAAGGCTTTTGATTCCCATTACCGCTGTGTCACCGTCACATTATTCTGACAGTTACAGAAAAGCCTCGGCAGCCAGCTGCTCGCAAATTCTTATCTTTCTTTAAGTTTGATTTAGGTTTTGAGGCAGGAGCACAGCTCAGGAGTTGAAGGGAGTCAGCCTGTCAGGGGAAATCTCTGCTGCATGGGGAAAAAACTCCCCAAGGATCACTCCACATTTGCAGCGTTGTGGCTCCGGGACAAGACAGGGCAAACTAGGAAGAAGAAACAGTGAAGAAGTCATACTTATATAACCATGCAAATGATAAATTCCGATGACTAAAAGACCAATTATAGACAGAAGTTAACTGTGCAAAATTACGAAATGTATTCATTTATTTTATTAGCGACTGCAGAAGTGTGTGTGAGCATGTTTAGGGGGGGGGGGGGTTTAAGGTCATATGATGAGAACGTGATGTATTCTGTTTGACTCGGTCCTTAGCAGATGTGTCCTGTCATGTCCTGGCTGATGTGCCTGTGCCTCTGGGTCAGTGTGACTGCCATTCAGCTGTGTCAGGCCACTTTCTACGACACCATCCAAACGCACCATGGGACGCGGCCTGGTCGAACCACCATTCACATGATCGGTGAGTCCTCTGCTGCTTCCCCCCCCCCCCCCCCCCCCCCCCCCCCCCCCTTCTTTCTCTAGGTACTACAAGTGTCTTAAAAAGCATCAAAATGAGAAGCAAATATTTATTTTGTGTCATCATCTTTAGTTTCTGCCATCGCCCCTTGAGTACTGTTGGTGCTGTAGCATCCTGGGTGTGGTTGCTCATGTGTTTAATTAGATTGTCACAAGCTCGGAGAAAATAACGAGACTTTATTTCGCTGTGGGTTTTTATTTGTTACTTTCATTTTGATATATTAGCTGTTAAGCTTAGACAAACAACCAATTATTTAACAAACACATTATACACCGGCTATTTTTCATTAAGATGTGGCCCTGATAGCATGATTTCTGTTCTGAAGATCACAAAGATAGACAATAATTGCCTTTGTGCTTTCCTTCTTGAGCGATTACCGTTGATATTCATGCTACACTGCTCCTTCTCAATTTGATCTGTGCGATTGCTGTCCCTGTGAAATTGCTCTGAATAGAATATGACCGAATCATTGCGGTCGAACTTTTGTTTTCATCAGACGGATGTGTGCCGTGGTTATGGTAAATAATTATGATCTCAGGATTCAACAGAGGAGAGGAAGCCGAAAGCTGTCAGAACTTCAAAGGGAGAAGGAGCTGTATGAGCATGCAGGTCCTTGGTGTCTGTTATTTCCTCTATGTGCCGGTGCACCTCCAGCATATCAGCAAGGGGTCTTCTCAATATAGTGAGTCAGAAGACTTCCTGTTCCAATACCTTCATTTTTACAATTACTCAAGTCTGCACACATGTATTGAGCAAGAAAAAGTACTCTAATACACTCACAATTAACACATCTTCTAGAAAGTGTTCTTATATCACCAAAACAGAAATGGAATTCATATTTTAAATGTGCATTCAGGTTCCTCTTTGGAAAAAAAATGGTTCAAAGTGAACGATTTGTATCCTTCAGGAGCCTCTGCCACTAAAAGTGTAAATACCCTGTCATTCGATTTACCATAGTATGGCTACTCCTCACTCCTGGATAAATGAGATGCCAGTTTTATGAGAGGAGGATGGGAAGCCTGTCTGGATTGATTCTGACACCGGGAGATTTGTTCTCTGCTGTGTGTTGTGTGCCTGTTGGATTGGTGGCAGGATTGGGGTTGACGGGTCATGAATTGGTGGCAAGAAGGCCATTGGTTGCAGACCATTGGGCCAATCATTAAAGGCAGCGAAATGCCACAAGTTCACGGTGACTGGTATTACCGGCGGAAATCGAGATTACAGAGGCCGAGGGATCACTTGTGTCCTTGCCAATATACATCTAGATCTATTGGAGGATGTTTTTTAGAAAACCAATTCAATCACCTGGAGTGTCTTGGGGAACAGCTAAATTGCGACCTGACGTTCAGACTCTGTCAACAAACACAACCTCAGGATAAATTATTAGTTGGAAATGAAAACACCTGTAGCGTGAAAAGGCATACAAGACAGGAATATTACAGATTTATCAGCAGCATTGTGTTGCTCACTGCCAACGAATCCTCTGTGATTATTTCTTTTGACAGCATTTAGGCAACGGTTCCACTCGCGGACTGAGATATTGACAGCCGCTTTGCAAAGAATGCGTGTCCATAAGTCCATTAGCTGGATGACCCTTGAGTAGATGCTTGTGTGTGCTCAGTGATTCGGAAAAGGCAGCCTGCTTTCCAGCCTACAGCTCTACTTACAGATTGCTGCCTGCCACTCTCTCAGATACGCTTATGGCTGTTCTCTGCCTTCCTGGTACAGGCTGTGTTGCTCTCTGCGGTATGATTCATAAGGTGCTGCATTTATTTGGTGCAAAGACCGTGAACTGTGCACAAAAGAAAAACAGATTGTGTTTGTCATGCATCCGTAAAGTGCCGGGCGGAGATGTTCCTTTTGGGGTCATGCGTTTCTCGACCCCTGAACGCGTCCGGGGGAAATCACAGGAAGAGGATTCTCATTGTTTAGAACATCAATGTTTTAGACAAAATAAAACCTACTAACTGCATCCATTGATCCAACTATTGAAAACATGAAAACATGCTTTGCAGCAGAAACAAATCACACTTTTTTACAGGAGTACAATCTCAGTTTTATGAAATTTAGCAAAGAATGAAACACGCTGCAGAGAGAACAAAGGTGAGCTGAATGTGTTGAGCAGCAGTCTTTTCTATCCTGAGGAAGAAATTGTGCCATTCGTGATGCACTGCTTCATGCGCAGGTGATAACACAGAATACTGAAAAAAGTACATTGAGACTGCCTGAGGTGGCCTTGCTCCCTCGTGGACTCACTCCCACCAACAATCGGCTTTGCGAGGTCAACCTGTTCATAACAGAGAGGTCAACGATTCTCAACACTGTGCGGATAATCTCTTACTTAGCGGTTGCTGTAAAAGTGTAGCTGCGAGTGAACCAGCATGATATAACATGCAGAGCAGCAGAAGCGGGGATACAAGCAGAAGTAACTCACTTGTAAGTATCCACTGTATATTATAATTTATTCAGACTTAAGTCATAAATACTTAACTCTGTGTGATATCCATTTCACTGTATTCCTCTCGCCTCACACTGTTATCTTCTGTGATAGTCCTCTATAGCAGCTATAGCCCCTCCTCAGCCACTCTTAAAAATGTACCTTTTTCAACATGGGTGTAATTTTAACATTATGCAACTTTAATATCACTTTTCTTCTAGAATAGGGGGTGCTCCTATAGTTGTATTTCTTTCCAGAGCGAAAATACCATTTAAATCCCTCATGTCTCCCTTTCAGGAGCTTTAATGAGGAGTAGAGGATCAGGGCTTTTTTTTTTTCCTTCAGTGCGCTGCAACAAAAGAAACCACTCGCTGGTAAAGCTCACAATGAAACAAACGTGAAAAATGGATTTTCAGCTGTCACAAACAAAAGGTTGTATCCTCTATGCACTGTTTTAGACACTGACAATATAATAGCCTTATATAATGCATCCTGGAGGCACATTATTTTGACATACATCTTCCTCCTCCCCTCCCCTAGCCCTCCTCTCAACCATGCTCACACTAGTGTCATTGCTGCTCTGCTGCAGTGCCAATGGGAAGTGGCGTGCAGCCTCCGCCCGAGGCCTCTCCACATCTGGAGCTCAAAATTCACATTGTCCTGATGTTGTTAAACATGCCACTGTGACGTCAAAGCCCCAATAAATACTCGAAACTTCCTCCATATTCTTAAAAGTGAATATCCTTTGCTTTGTAGTCTCTGAAGTAAAGGGAGCACAGCTTAATTACTTTGCCAGCGCATCGTATATTTTACCAGAAATAAACTATTCTTGTCATTTCCTTGGTTAGCCCTGAAAGAAAAATAAATTCTTAAGTAAATGAATCTGAGGACAATCAGTGCCCTAATTATTGCTGTATGCTCACGGCTACAAATAGGTTTTACATATTTCAGTATTTCCCATTTATTTCCTCTTCTAGGCTATGAATTATTCATAAGAGAGAGCTCCTCCAAGCTTGTGGATATTTGTTTAAACAGCATGTTTAATTGAAGTCTTTCAGCCAATTCTGTGCAGGGGCTATGGCTTGTGGTCACAACGCTTATATGCGAAATGAATTTCTGTGGCCCACAGCTCAATTAATCAGCCAGCTTCTGTCTTAAGACTACCAGCTGTTTCTTGTCTTATCCAGAATCCCCCAGCATTAATAAAATGCGTGTTAACCGCAGACAGAGTTCACAGCTTGTATCACAGACAGACAATCACAGGGGGAACAATTATATAAAATATCCATTATACATGTGTTGGATTCTTTCCAAATCCAAATACAGTGGAGTGTCACTTTTTTATTCACTGGTAAATGTTGAGAGTTTGGTCAGACCTTTGGAAAGATTTGTTTATTGGTCACTTTGTCTCTTTGTGTCTGTAGATTTCCTTAATTTGACTAAAAGCTAGCATTAGATAATCACTTATTTGGATTTTCAAACATAACACTTATAATAAAAAATAATTGTCCCAATGTTAGCAATTGACTTGTGATATGTATTATTAAAATGTGCATAAATTCCACTGTAGTATTTCCCTTTATATGGGGCCCTATTACGCTTTTTGGAGTTTTAAGTTTCCTATTGTGTGTTATATAGGTTTTTGTGCATGTGGATCCACTCACCCTGTTGCCTTCAAAACACCTTGAATAGACTCCTTTGTTTAGATCTGTAACATTATGACATCATTGTATGCGTGTGCTTCTATTGGCTAGTGCTCCAACACGTTGTACGTGATTTGCTAAGAGTCGGGACATCTCTAAGCAGCTAACCAATCAGAGCAGAGTGTGAAACGAGGGGCTGCATCACATTAAAGCATGGACACATGCAACAAATATGAACCTGCAATGAGCATAATAGGGCCACTTTAACACCAATTAAGCTACAAATTATTGCTGGGATTTCTTGTAAACTAAACTACTATTAATAATGGTAAAAACTAAAAACATTCTTTACCCTATTCCCCTGTCGTAAATCTCATAATGTATACCATTTTTCATTACATATCTTTAGAGGCTTTCAGCAAGAAATCTCCACTCATCTTTATTAGTGCTATATCAATATGTGTTACTCTCCACTACTAAAGCTGTAATTATTTGCATAACATGATAGAGTGAGCTACTTTCTAAACCAAATGTTAATTCACAAAAGCTGATGGGAAATATAATGTTACAATCCACATTATGTTAAAACTTTCATTTATGTTAGCACACTGCTACCATGAATTGCACCCCCTGGCCAAAACAAATTATCATGACTGCACATAAAGCTGAGCCTGTAGCTAAGATATGTTTGCTTTTTATTAACAGCTGAACACATTTTCCCTCAGTATGACATTATTAGTTAATCATTTCAAACCACTTTGTTCCGGGTGGAAGAAGCAGAGTATCCTCTTGGGGTCATTAGCGAGATTTTAATTCCCCTTGTTTTGTTTAGTGGCAGTTTTCTAAATATGTAGTGATGACAG